AAAAGCATGTTTGGAGTGTATTTGTTCGAGTTGCTTTGTTTTGCCGTTCCGCAAATCTGTCTGAACACACAGTTTCTCATTCTGCTTGCAATGTTTCTTCGCTGTTGACTTGGCATCCCGTTCCCAACCTTACCTCAACAAAACTTACCGTTCCTTGTACCACTTGCATCACAGGCAAATGCGGTTCGATAAAGTGTGGAGCCAACGCCACGTGCAGCACGGATGAGGCAGGGGATGCATCCTGTTCCTGTGACAAGGGCTTTGAAAGGCTTGCGGATGGCACTTGTGCTGGTGAGACATGCTGCTTCGGAACCCAAAAGCATGTTTGGAGTGTATTTGTTCGAGTTGCTTTGTTTTGCCGTTCCGCAAATCTGTCTGAACACACAGTTTCTCATTCTGCTTGCAATGTTTCTTCGCTGTTGACTTGGCATCCCGTTCCCAACCTTATCTCAACAAAACTTACCGTTCCTTGTACCACTTGCATCACAGGGAAATGCGGTTCGATAAAGTGTGGGGCCAACGCCACGTGCAGCACGGATGAGGCAGGGGATGCATCCTGTTCCTGTGACAAGGGCTTTGAAAGGCTTGCGGATGGCACTTGTGCTGGTGAGACATGCTGCTTCGGAACCCAAAAGCATGTTTGGAGTGTATTTGTTCGAGTTGCTTTGTTTTGCCGTTCCGCAAATCTGTCTGAACACACAGTTTCTCATTCTGCTTGCAATGTTTCTTCGCTGTTGACTTGGCATCCCGTTCCCGACCTTACCTCAACAAAACTTACCGTTCCTTGTACCACTTGCATCACAGGCAAATGCGGTTCGATAAAGTGTGGAGCCAACGCCACGTGCAGCACGGATGAGGCAGGGGATGCATCCTGTTCCTGTGACAAGGGCTTTGAAAGGCTTGCGGATGGCACTTGTGCTGGTGAGACATGCTGCTTCGGAACCCAAAAGCATGTTTGGAGTGTTCTTGTTTGAGTTGCTTTGTTTTGCCGTTCCGCAAATCTGTCTGAACACACAGTTTCTCATTCTGCTTGCAATGTTTCTTCGCTGTTGACTTGGCATCCCGTTCCCAACCTTATCTCAACAAAACTTACCGTTCCTTGTACCACTTGCATCACAGGCAAATGCGGTTCGATAAAGTGTGGGGCCAACGCCACGTGCAGCACGGATGAGGCAGGGGATGCATCCTGTTCCTGTGACAAGGGCTTTGAAAGGCTTGCGGATGGCACTTGTGCTGGTGAGACATGCTGCTTCGGAACCCAAAAGCATGTTTGGAGTGTATTTGTTCGAGTTGCTTTGTTTTGCCGTTCCGCAAATCTGTCTGAACACACAGTTTCTCATTCTGCTTGCAATGTTTCTTCGCTGTTGACTTGGCATCCCGTTCCCAACCTTACCTCAACAAAACTTACCGTTCCTTGTACCACTTGCATCACAGGCAAATGCGGTTCGATAAAGTGTGGAGCCAACGCCACGTGCAGCACGGATGAGGCAGGGGATGCATCCTGTTCCTGTGACAAGGGCTTTGAAAGGCTTGCGGATGGCACTTGTGCTGGTGAGACATGCTGCTTCGGAACCCAAAAGCATGTTTGGAGTGTTCTTGTTTGAGTTGCTTTGTTTTGCCGTTCCGCAAATCTGTCTGAACACACAGTTTCTCATTCTGCTTGCAATGTTTCTTCGCTGTTGACTTGGCATCCCGTTCCCAACCTTATCTCAACAAAACTTACCGTTCCTTGTACCACTTGCATCACAGGCAAATGCGGTTCGATAAAGTGTGGGGCCAACGCCACGTGCAGCACGGATGAGGCAGGGGATGCATCCTGTTCCTGTGACAAGGGCTTTGAAAGGCTTGCGGATGGCACTTGTGCTGGTGAGACATGCTGCTTCGGAACCCAAAAGCATGTTTGGAGTGTATTTGTTCGAGTTGCTTTGTTTTGCCGTTCCGCAAATCTGTCTGAACACACAGTTTCTCATTCTGCTTGCAATGTTTCTTCGCTGTTGACTTGGCATCCCGTTCCCAACCTTACCTCAACAAAACTTACCGTTCCTTGTACCACTTGCATCACAGGCAAATGCGGTTCGATAAAGTGTGGAGCCAACGCCACGTGCAGCACGGATGAGGCAGGGGATGCATCCTGTTCCTGTGACAAGGGCTTTGAAAGGCTTGCGGATGGCACTTGTGCTGGTGAGACATGCTGCTTCGGAACCCAAAAGCATGTTTGGAGTGTTCTTGTTTGAGTTGCTTTGTTTTGCCGTTCCGCAAATCTGTCTGAACACACAGTTTCTCATTCTGCTTGCAATGTTTCTTCGCTGTTGACTTGGCATCCCGTTCCCAACCTTATCTCAACAAAACTTACCGTTCCTTGTACCACTTGCATCACAGGCAAATGCGGTTCGATAAAGTGTGGGGCCAACGCCACGTGCAGCACGGATGAGGCAGGGGATGCATCCTGTTCCTGTGACAAGGGCTTTGAAAGGCTTGCGGATGGCACTTGTGCTGGTGAGACATGCTGCTTCGGAACCCAAAAGCATGTTTGGAGTGTATTTGTTCGAGTTGCTTTGTTTTGCCGTTCCGCAAATCTGTCTGAACACACAGTTTCTCATTCTGCTTGCAATGTTTCTTCGCTGTTGACTTGGCATCCCGTTCCCAACCTTACCTCAACAAAACTTACCGTTCCTTGTACCACTTGCATCACAGGCAAATGCGGTTCGATAAAGTGTGGAGCCAACGCCACGTGCAGCACGGATGAGGCAGGGGATGCATCCTGTTCCTGTGACAAGGGCTTTGAAAGGCTTGCGGATGGCACTTGTGCTGGTGAGACATGCTGCTTCGGAACCCAAAAGCATGTTTGGAGTGTTCTTGTTTGAGTTGCTTTGTTTTGCCGTTCCGCAAATCTGTCTGAACACATAGTTTCTCATTCTGCTTGCAATGTTTCTTCGCTGTTGACTTGGCATCCCGTTCCCAACCTTATCTCAACAAAACTTACCGTTCCTTGTACCACTTGCATCACAGGCAAATGCGGTTCGATAAAGTGTGGGGCCAACGCCACGTGCAGCACGGATGAGGCAGGGGATGCATCCTGTTCCTGTGACAAGGGCTTTGAAAGGCTTGCGGATGGCACTTGTGCTGGTGAGACATGCTGCTTCGGAACCCAAAAGCATGTTTGGAGTGTATTTGTTCGAGTTGCTTTGTTTTGCCGTTCCGCAAATCTGTCTGAACACACAGTTTCTCATTCTGCTTGCAATGTTTCTTCGCTGTTGACTTGGCATCCCGTTCCCAACCTTACCTCAACAAAACTTACCGTTCCTTGTACCACTTGCATCACAGGCAAATGCGGTTCGATAAAGTGTGGAGCCAACGCCACGTGCAGCACGGATGAGGCAGGGGATGCATCCTGTTCCTGTGACAAGGGCTTTGAAAGGCTTGCGGATGGCACTTGTGCTGGTGAGACATGCTGCTTCGGAACCCAAAAGCATGTTTGGAGTGTTCTTGTTTGAGTTGCTTTGTTTTGCCGTTCCGCAAATCTGTCTGAACACACAGTTTCTCATTCTGCTTGCAATGTTTCTTCGCTGTTGACTTGGCATCCCGTTCCCAACCTTATCTCAACAAAACTTACCGTTCCTTGTACCACTTGCATCACAGGCAAATGCGGTTCGATAAAGTGTGGGGCCAACGCCACGTGCAGCACGGATGAGGCAGGGGATGCATCCTGTTCCTGTGACAAAGGATTTGAAAGGCTTGCGGATGGCACTTGTGCTGGTGAGACATGCTGCTTCGGAACCCAAAAGCATGTTTGGAGTGTATTTGTTCGAGTTGCTTTGTTTTGCCGTTCCGCAAATCTGTCTGAACACACAGTTTCTCATTCTGCTTGCAATGTTTCTTCGCTGTTGACTTGGCATCCCGTTCCCAACCTTACCTCAACAAAACTTACCGTTCCTTGTACCACTTGCATCACAGGCAAATGCGGTTCGATGAAGTGTGGAGCCAACGCCACGTGCAGCACGGATGAGGCAGGGGATGCATCCTGTTCCTGTGACAAGGGCTTTGAAAGGCTTGCGGATGGCACTTGTGCTGGTGAGACATGCTGCTTCGGAACCCAAAAGCATGTTTGGAGTGTTCTTGTTTGAGTTGCTTTGTTTTGCCGTTCCGCAAATCTGTCTGAACACACAGTTTCTCATTCTGCTTGCAATGTTTCTTCGCTGTTGACTTGGCATCCCGTTCCCAACCTTATCTCAACAAAACTTACCGTTCCTTGTACCACTTGCATCACAGGCAAATGCGGTTCGATAAAGTGTGGGGCCAACGCCACGTGCAGCACGGATGAGGCAGGGGATGCATCCTGTTCCTGCGACAAGGGCTTCGAAAGGCTTGCGGATGGCACTTGTGCTGGTGAGACATGCTGCTTCGGAACCCAACTGCATGTGTGGAAAGTAATTGTTTCAGTCGTTCCGTTATCCCGTTCCCAAATTATGTCTCAACACAGCGTTCCTGATGTTGCTTGCAGTGTTATGTTGCTGGTGCCTAGTTTATCCGTTCCCAACCTTATCTTGACACAACTCGCCGTTCCTCGTACCACTTGCGTCACAGGCAAATGCGCTTTGATAACGTGTGGGGCCAACGCCACATGCAGCACGGATAAGGAAGGGGTTGCATCCTGCTCCTGTGACACGGGCTTTGAAATGCTTGCCAATGGCACTTGTGCTGGTGAGGCATGGTGCTTCAAAATCCGAACAGCAGGTTTGCATGGTTTTGTTTTTGTGCTCCCTCCTTTTCCTGTTCCCAGGATCCATCTCAACACATTGTTTCTCATGTTGCTTGCTGCAGTGTGTTATTTCTGTTGCCTTGTGTTCCCATTCCCAAACCTCTCTCATCGTTCGCACCACTCCATTTCTTGTACCACTTGCATCACAGGCAAATGCGGTTCGATAAAGTGTGGGGCCAACGCCACGTGCAGCACGGATGAGGCAGGGGATGCATCCTGCTCCTGTGACAAGGGCTTCCAAATGCTTACCAATGGCTCTTGTGCTGGTGAGGCATGGTGCTTCGAAACCCAAAAGCATGTGTGGAGTGTTTTTGTTTCAGTTGCCTTGTTTTCGCGTTTCCAAAACCTTTCTCAACACATCGTTGCTTGCAATATTCTGTTGCTGGTGCCTAGTTTTCCGTTTTCCAAATTTCTCTTAACGCAACACACCTTTTTTCGTACAACTTGCGTCACAGGAAAGTGTACTTGGATAAATTGTGGGGTCAACGCCACGTGCAGCACGGATGAGGCAGGGGATGCATTTTGTTCCTGTGACAAGGGCTTCGTAAGGCTTGCCAATGGCACCTGTGCTGGTGAGGCGTGGTGTTGTGGAAACCCTAAAGCATGCTTGTAGTTTTTTTCGTTTCGGTTGCTGTGTTCATTTCCCAAAATCAACGCAACGTTTCTCTTCCTGCTTGAGTTGTTTTGTTTCGTTTTTGGTGTTTGCTAATGCCACAGACACTGCGTCGTGTCTTGCACCTTATTGTGACAATGTGACCTTTGATTTGGATCACAGTATTGCGTCTATGTGCTGCTGGGTGACTTTTGAGTTGACTCAAAAGCCGAGTCGAATCAAAAGTCACCTTATTGTGTGACCTTTAACCTGGTTCACAGCATCCCATCTCTGTGCTGCTCCGTGCTGCCCACTTTTCTGCCCTCTGTGCGTCCCTCCCTCTGTACTTCTTCCTTGGCAGAATCTTCTGTATCGGTGATGTTCTATCTGATGTTTTGCGTTGTTGTGCCATGAAATGAAATGTCAGGCTGTTCCAATCCGCGCATGTTGTGCTGTCTTTGAGGACGCCTCTGAAGTCCTGTTGTGACGTGCTCTGCCATGCCGTGCAAGCTGTGCGGTTTTGCGTATCCCTTCTCACTTTCCCGCCTCCCCAGGCTCTGGCAGATGTGGAAAGTGCCCTGTTGGAGCCGCGTGCGCTGTAGCTTTTGACTGGGTTCCATACTGCATCTGCCCTGCCGGCTATAACATGACCACCACTGGCTGCATCAGTGGTAAGCCCAATGCTATTTGCGTTCTACATATGACCAATGTTTATTGCACCCCATACCTTTGCCTTTTCTGTTAACGCAGCTTTCGCTGTTAATCCGCACCATGTTACCTTTTCCCTAGCAACACAAGACCTTCGTCAGAACAAAGCTCGAATCTGCTATTTTTGAAACAAATAAATAGAGACTTTGTTTGAGGAGGAGATAAGATAAATTGGGAATGTAACTATATTGCCCTTGTGAGGTGAATCAAGTCAGGGTCCTGTGTGAGATGAATCGAGTCGAGCCAGCAATGTCGACGGCTCGTGGCTCGTCAAATGAGGGCGATCCGATGACGAGCCAGTTTGGGCTCGTTGACAAGCTGGTGTGGGCGAGCTGAAGGCGGCTTGTTGGCAAGCCAAAGGCTCGACAGCCGGCTTTCAGCTCAACGCGACTTGTTCGAAATTGCTGTTTCAGTCTTATTGCATGCTTATTGCATACAAGTTGAATTGGGTTGAAGCGGGGAAGGGGAACAACGGGATGAATTAAGGCGATCCCATTCAAGTGAGTTCGGGATTACTATCCCACCTGTCCCCTTGGTCCCTTCTCTCACCAGCAACACCTTATATACCCCCCCTCTTCTCCCCCCCCCCCCCCTTCACCCCCTCCCCGCTCTTTTGTTCATTCCCGCGCATGCCCTGCTACCATGCCATGTTTTGATTTCCCACTCCAGGTGCCCCGCCCACTGTCTCTGGCACCAGCTATACCTTCTACGACCAGCGCATGTTGACCGCAACGTCCAACACCTACACGATGCGCATCGAATACAATGGCTGCACCAACATCCCTGCCTCCATTGCCTCAAACATTCGGGCGAGTTGGAGAATACATCACGTTTCTGGAGGGTTAGGAAATTGCACGTCTGTGAACGGATATGCTCAGGAGGGGTGCGTTGGAGCGTTTGACACATATAAAGACAGTTCCACTCTGAGCGCCACGAGTGCTACGTGAGTCGCTCATGGCCACCTGATGCCATCCTTGACTCTAGGATAAGGGATTGTAGTTGTTACATGCATGCATCAGGCATGCACACGCACATGTGGCACGCACACGCACATGTGGCATCCACATGCACATGTGGCATGCGCGCATGCAAGCATGGCTCGTGCAACCACACCGATGACACGCGCACAATGCACACATGACACCTTTCCTTTGGCATTGGAATGCATTCTGTCTTTGATCGTTAGCTTCTTGCTGCCGCTAGTTCCTCCACGCCCCCCTTCTCTCTCCCTCGGATGCCAATTCACCCCACATCAAAATTTTCTTTGTTCCTCACTCACGTTACGTGTGTGTTACCCCCCGTTCAACAGATATAAGAGTCTATTTCCTTTCCGCTCTTTCATCTGCGTGCATTAAGCTCGTCAGCAGCACTTCTACATCAGGCCATTGCAGTTTGGTGCCGCCCTCATGATAGGATTGGAATTGAACCCATGTTTCTCATGAACGCTAACTACCGTAGCTGCTTGCATTATTTCACTAAGGGTTTTTAACAGGAACTGTTGAAGTATCGAGATGAGAATGGTCAACTAAAAGGAGTTGAGAGTACAAGTATGAACCCTAATGGGTTGTACTCTCTAGAGAATAACCCAATGTAGCCTACAGTAACATACCGTAATCCCTCGGATATAAGACCCTAGGGTCTTATGCAAAATCCCTAGAAAGAAATGGCGGGGGTCTTAACAAAGGAAAAAAATATATATATATCTGTCAAACTATATATGTGTTAGTTATGTGTAGGCTATAGTGGGGTAGCCCATATGGGGTACAACCCAAAGTTAGGGTTAGTACTTGTACCCACATTTCATTCAATGCAGTCATTCCTGCCTGCTATCTTGACATGGTTTCAGAGCAGTAGGTCCATAGGACCGTTTTTTTTTTTTTTTTTTCGGGCCCACCATACTTAGCAACCGCCTGCGGTTACCGCGCTACCCCACGCCCTGCCCTGCGTCGCGCCGCCCGCGCACGCCCTGCCCTGCCCCGCGTCGCGCTGCCCCGCGCACGCCCTGCCCTGCCCTGCGTCGCGCCGCCCCGCGCACGCCCTGCCCTGCCCCGCGTCGCGCTGCCCCGCGCACGCCCTGCCCTGCCCTGCGTCGCGCTGCCCCGCGCACGCCCTGCCCTGCCCCGCGTCGCGCTGCCCCGCGCACGCCCTGCCCTGCGCGTCGCGCCCTAAGGCAGCCCGTCACGTCGCGCTCTGCTGCCCCGCGCGTCGCGCTCTGCTGCCTCGCGTGTCGCGCCCTGCTGCAGCCCGCGCGTCGCGCCCTACGGCAGCCCGCGCGTCGCGCTCTGCTGCAGCCCGCGCGTCGCGCCCTACTGCCCCGCGCGTCGCGCCCTTTTGCAGCCCGCGCGTCGCGCCGTGCTACCCTGCACAACGCGCGCCCTACTACCCGCGCCGCCCAGACCAAGCCGCGCCGCCCAGCCCGAGCCGCCCTGCCCAACCTGATCCGCCCTTCTGCTCGTGCTACTGCTGCTGCTGGTGGAGGTGCTGCTAGGAGTGCTGGAGGTGCTGCAGCCTAGCCTCACCGAGCCGCTCTGCTGCTCTTACTGCTGCTGCTCTTACTGCTGCTGCTGCTACTCGTGCTACTGCCTTCACTCCGTACTGCCCTAGAGGTCGCGCTCCTCCTAGCTTGCCCGCCATGGCTGCACTTTGTAGTAGCGGTGGGAGTGGTGACGGCGGTGGTGGCAGCAGTGGGAGTGGTGGCGGCCGTAGTCGCAGTCACTGTGGCGCTGTTTGGTGCGGAGTTTCTGGCGGAGGCCAGATGCAGCTACGGCGGCGTCCGACCCTTACGCCCCAGCAGCTTCGTGAGTGGTTTTACCAGCGTGGGCCGTCTCCGAGTACTGGTCGCTGCCCGTACGTCATTCGCACAGGTCGTCGAGCTGGTCAGACCTGTGGGACACCTGGTCACGCACAGTCCCGCTGCTTCTCCTATTTGACTGACGCCTGGCGCGCAGAGTTTGGCGACGAGGCTGAGATCCCCCACTGGCTTGAGCTGCTTAGGTCGGGCGTTGATGTCTTTGCTTTAGACTATGACGCCATCCTCACTGCCATGTCTGCTTTGCCTGGTGGTGCTGAGAGTGGTGCTAGTGAGGCTGCTGCCTTAGGTGCTAGCGAGTCTGCTCCCTCAGGTATTGCGCCTGCTGAGGCCTTGCACACCTTCATGCTTGACTCAGGTGCTTCCCGCTGTTTCTTTCGTGACAGTACTGCACTCACACCACTCCCTGCACCTGTTGCAGTCTCTCTGGCTGACCCCTCCGGGGGCCCAGTTCTTGCACGGTCCACCACTGTGCTTCCGTGCCCGGCGGTTCCGTCTGGCTCACTGTCAAGTCTCCACCTCCCCTCGTTCTCGACGAACTTGGTGAGCAACGCAATCCTCCAGGATGTGGGCGTCAATACCTTCACCCCTGCATGGCAGCGTGTGGCGATCTGCACGTCCCTGCACCTGTTGCAGTCTCTCTGGCTGACCCCTCCGGGGGCCCAGTTCTTGCACGGTCCACCACTGTGCTTCCGTGCCCGGCGGTTCCGTCTGGCTCACTGTCAAGTCTCCACCTCCCCTCGTTCTCGACGAACTTGGTGAGCAACGCAATCCTCCAGGATGTGGGGGTTAATACCTTCACCCCTGCATGGCAGCGTGTGGCGATCTGCACGTGTGCACAGACTGGCCGTCACCTGGCCACGTTCACTCGTCGGCCAGGGTCGAGTCTTTACACACTGACGACTGTGTCTCCTCAGGTCGCTGCTGTCGGTCAGGTGTCTGCGTCAGGTCTGGTAGCCTCCCCTTGTGAGTGTCGCTCCCTGTCGCACCAGACTCTTCTCTGGCACCACCGTCTGGGTCACCCCTCCTTGCCACGTCTACGTGGCATGCACCGTCGCCTCCTTGTGTCTGGTCTTCCCAGGTCTCTCCCTCCCCTCCCTGCCTCGCCTGCGCCGCCCTGCCTTCCTTGCGTCGAGGGGTGGCAGCGCGCCGCTCCTCACTCCTCCTCGTTTCCCCCGACAGAGGCTCCCCTGCAGACCCTCCACCTGGACGTGTGGGGCCCATCCCGCGTCACTGGACAGGGTGGCGCGCGGTACTTTTTGCTGGTTGTCGACGACTACTCGCGTTACACCACGGTCTTCCCCTTGCGCACCAAGGGTGAGGTCCCTGCTGTCTTGATCCCTTGGATCCGAGCAGTTCGTCTCCAGCTCCGCCGCCGGTTCCGCTCATACCTTCCTATCCTGCGTCTGCACTCTGACAGAGGTGGTGAGTTCTCCTCCGACCTCTTGAGGACCTTCTGTCAGAGGGAGGGCATCGAGCAGTCGTTCACGCTTCCGGGCTCACCGCAGCAAAATGGGGTTGCTGAGCGCCGCATTGGCTTGGTCATGGAGATCGCTCGTACCTCCTTGATCCATGCGGCGGCTCCCCATTTTCTGTGGCCGTTTGCGGTCCGGTACGCCGCGCAGCAGCTCAACCTCTGGCCCCGTGTCTCCTTGCCGGACACCTCGCCCACACTGCGTTGGACGGGGGAGGTTGGTGATGCGTCGCGTTTCCGGGTCTGGGGTGCTCGTGCCCTTGTCCGCGATACGTCCGCGGACAAGCTCTCCTCCCGCACCATTCTCTGTGTCTTCTTTGACTTTGTCCCTGACGCACATGGATGGCAGTTTTACCACCCCACCTCGCGCCGTGTCTTCCCCTCTCAGGACGTCACCTTTGACGAGTCGGTTCCTTTCTACCGTCTCTTCCCCTACCGCACTGCCCCTCTCCCTCCCCCGCCGCTTTTCCTCGCTCCAGGTCCCCCTCCGGTAGACCCCCTCCCCCCTCAGGGTCCTGCTCCTTCAGGTGTGTCTCAGGTAGACCCACTCCCCTTGGCTGAGCCTTTGGAGGTCACTTCCGACACCTCTGGCCCAGCTGAGGGGGGTGACGTTGCTGCTGACGCCCCGGCGGCCTACCGCCGCACACCACGCTTGGAGACCCCTCCGGGTTTCCCGCCGCGACCGTCTTCGCCGCCTCTGCAGCCGGTTACTGTTGACTCTGGTGCTGCTGGGGGTGGTGCTACTCGGGAAGCTGCGTCTGGGGGTGCTGAGCCTGTGCGTGAGGTGCTGGGGGGTGTGGAGCCTGGGGGTGCTGAGCCTACGAGTGCGGAGCCTGAGGGTGCTGAGCTGGAGGGTGCCGGGTCGGGGGGTGCTGAGTCAGCTGGCGTTCCTCCGGGTCTCGATTCCCGGCGGGAACCTCTCTCACCACAGCAACTACAAGAGTGGATTGCGTGGCGTACCCGCCTGAGGCGTCGTGCTGCTGGAGCTGGAGGTCCTGCTGCTGGAGGTACGGCTGCTCGAGGTGCTGCGGTTGGAGCTGCTGGTGCTGCTCGTCGTGGAGACGCTGGGAGTACTGATGTTTCTGGTTCTGGACGTGCTCGTACCGGGGGTACTGGAGCTGCCAGGACTGGCGGTCCTGCTGGAGCGGGAGGTGATAGTTCTGGGAGTGCTGAATCTCTTATCGGTCCTCCTGGTGCCGAGTCGCAGCGACTGCCTCTCTCACCACAGCAGCTGCGCGAGTGGTACGCTCAGCGCTACCGCCGTCGGAGTCGCGCTGCTGGAGGTACTGGGGCTGTAGACCCTACCGCTGGAGGTGCCGCTTCTGGGGGTGCTAGGACTGGAGGTACTGGGGCTGGAGACCCTGGAGCTGGTGCTGTCGACTGTGGAGTTGGAATATGGAGGTGCTACTGCTGGAGGTACTGGGACTGGAGAGCCCGGAGCTGGAGGTGCCGGTTCTGGGGGTGCTGCGACTGGAGGTACTGAGGCGGGAGACCCTGGAGCTGGAGGTTCTGGAGCTGTTGGAGGCGCTAGAGCTGGAGGTTCTGGAGCTGCTGGAGGCGCTGGAGCTGGAGGTTCTGGAGCTGCTGGAGGTGCTGGAGCTGGAGGTTCTGGAGCTGCTGGAGGCGCTGGAGATGGAGGTTGTGGAGCTACTGGAGGCGCTGGAGCTGGAGGTTCTAGAGCTGCTGGAGGCGCTGGAGCTGGAGGTTCTGGAGCTGCTGGAGGCGCTGGAGCTGGAGGTTCTAGAGCTGTTGGAGGCGCTGGAGCTGGAAGTTCGGGAGTTGCTGGAGGCGTTGGCGCTAGTTGTGCTCGTGACGCTGCACAGCCGCGACTGTTTTTCGCTCCGCCGTCACCGTCGTCTCTGCCACCGCCTGACTCCGTGCTTCGCCAGGTTCTTAGCCTTCCGTCTTCTACTGGCCTCCCGTTACAGCCTGGCTCACCGCTGCCTACTCCTTCTCCTTACACTGAGCAGACCGACTCGCTTACAGAGCGTCGTGAGCCTGCGTCTCGTCCTGCCTTGCCTGTTCGCGCTCGTCGCACTTGTCGTCGTGTTCCTCGTGAGCATCCACCTCCT